GAAAAGAAAAAGATAATTACTAGTTTTAAATACTTTACATTATTACCAACTATTAGGATATAAAGAAATGAAAGTTAGTAGTTATAGACATTACAATAGAAATTGTAGTCATATTAGATATGTTTTAAAAATTGAGCAGATATGTTTTAGACAGGTCATCTTCACCCATGGCACATCAAAGTTAAAACACTAAGTATAAGGAACAAAGAGTATGTTGATAGCTGCAAGAGAAACAAAACAAAAAACAGAAGCCACATAAAGCAAAGCCCACCAGAATAACAGTTGATCTCTCAGCTGAAAATCTGAAGAGGCTGGGATAATGTATTCCAAGTCCTAAAAGACTATAAACCTACGACAACCACCCTAGACCAATAAAACCACCAAAATTATCTGCCATAATTGGAGGAGAGAAGAAAACTAAGATATAAATAGCCTAAAAAATCTTTATATTCAACAAATCAAACCTAAAGAAAATACAAGAAGCAATATTTTGGGCTGAAGAGAGGAATTATATAGTAGAAAGACAGTGGAAGAAGTATGAGGCCATAATTATGAAAACACGAAGTACCACTAAGAATACAAACAATAATACCAGAAATTAACAGCACAAAGACCACTAGTAACACACATCCAATACATCTTAATTTCAATTGTCTCAACTCTCTATCAAAAGATACAAGCCGATTGAAGGGATCAAGGAACAAAATCCATCGATTTATTGTCTACAAGACACACATCTTGGCTTTAAAGAGAGGCACCTCCTTAGAGTAAAAGGATGGACAACAGTACTCCAATCAAATGGAACCATGAATCAGGTAGGTGTTGCTATCCTAATAGCTGACAAAACACTTCAAACAAAAACTAATCAGAAGAGATATAGAGGGACACTTCATTCTAACCAAGTGACGAGTTAACCAAGAAAACATTACTATCTTAAACATAGATACACCAAACTTTGTTGCACCCTTTTCATTAGAAAAATGTATCACTGGATTTAAAGACACAGATTAATATCAACCCATTAACAGTAGGCAATTTCAATACCCACTTTATCCAACAGACAGGGAAACATCAGAACTAACTGACAGCATACATCAATACATCAACTCAACAATCAACCAGGTGAAAAGGAAGTCTATAGAAGGTGAGGAGATCCATGGGGGCTTCCTAGTGAGACCTTACTCAAGGTCAGAGAATCTGAGCTTGCTTTACCCAGCAGGACTGCATAAAGGGATGATTTTGGCCATGGACATGTTTACCAGATGTTTGGAAGGGTCTACACTTGGCTGTATGGTGTGCTTTGATCTTGCAAGAGGGAGGTCTTTTGCCTTTCCCCTTGGCATATTATAAAAAGCCCTTTTGAATAAAGCTCTGGGCATGGCTGGGTACTGACCCAGGGCCCTCCTGAAGCTATCTTGTGTCTGTCTTTCTCTGTGTCATCTAGGTCTATCTTTCTACCTAATATTTCCTCTTTCCTTTCTCCTCCACACAAGAACCCTTTGATAGGTGGGTGCAAGTCAGAGCTGGTCTCCCACAGACTCTTACAAGAATGGGAAAGAATCTTTGCTAGCTAGACATATGACAGAGGATTAATATCCAGAATATATAAAGAACTTAAAAAACATAATAATAATAATAATAATAATAATAATACTCACTCAAAAAATGGTCTCAGGGCCTGAACAGAGAGTTCTCAAATGTAGAAAAAAAAATGGCTAAAATTGTAAATAAAAGCACCTTGGGAATTAGGAAAATGCAAGTCAAAACAACTTTGAGATTTTATCTTACCAAAAGTCAGAATGGTAAAAATCAACACATAAGTGACAACAAATGCTGGAGGGAGTGTAGGGGAAGGCAACTCTCATTCGCTGTTGTTGGGATTCTAAACTGGTGCAGCCATTCTAGAAGTCAGTGTGGAGAATTCTCAAAAAAACAAAAAATAAGTCTACCCTATGACCCAGCTATACCACTCCTTGGCATCTGCCCAAAGGATTCAACCTTCTGCTCCTCTGCACTCAGCCATGTTCACTGCTGCTCTATTCACAATAGCCAGGAAATGGAAACAGTCTAAATGTCCTTCAACCAATGACTGGATTGTGAAAATACTGTATACACACACAACTGAATACTAGTCAGCTGTAAAGAAAAATGAAACCATCCACCTTGCAGGTGTATGCATGGATGGAACTAGAAAGATCCTATTTCATGAGGTAACTCAGATTCAGAAAGAAAAGCATCACATAGTCTCTCTCTCTCACTGGAAGCTCCTACTTAGTCTTTAGATGAGAGTACATATCTGTAATAACAGTGGAAAACAGGAAAGAAAACTGAGTCTGCACTGGATAGTTTTATGTCAACTGGACACAAGCTAAAGTCATCTGAGAGGAGGGAACCTCAAGAAAATGTCTCTGTAAGCTCTAACCAGGTTTGTAAGGCATTTTCTTAGTTAGTGATTGATGGGATAGCTCAGCCCATGATGGATGGTGCCAATCCTGGGCTGGTGGTCCTACGTTCTATAAGAAAGCAGATTGAGTAAGCCAGTAAGCAAACCACAACACCAGGCATGAGAAGCCCTCTTTTGAGTTGTTGGTTAGGTTGTCCATGAGACTTCCAAAATTGGTGGTATAGAGGCCCCTCCATGGCCTCTGCATCAGTTCCTGTCTCCAGGTTCCTGTCCTGTTTGAGTTTCTGTCTTGACTTTTTTCATTGATGAACAGTGGTATGGACACACAAGCCAAACAAACCCATTCCCTCCCCAAGTTGCTTTGGTCATGGTGCTTCATCACAGCAACACAAACCCTACCTAAGACAGGGACCATTGCTGAGATAGGTGAGTGGGGGAATCAAGGGAAAGGGGAATAACACGGTATAAGCAATCTGATTGGCAAACTGAGAAACAACAGGAGGCTCTAAGATGGGGTTCTAATTAGGGAGGGAGAATGAAGATAAATACAGAAGGGTAAAATAACAGGAAGGATGTCTGAAAAAGTCATAAGGGACCATGCTGTTAACTACCTAAAAAAACAAAACAAATACAGTTTAAATGAAAATTTCTCATCTATCTATCTATCTATCTATCTATCTATCTATCTATCTATCTATCTATCTACCCATGCATCCATCCATCCATCATCCATCCATCCATCCATCCATCCATCCATCTACCTACCTACCTATTTATGTATCTATTTATGTATCTGTGTATCCATCCATCCATCCATCCATCCATCCATCCATCCATCCATCCATCCATCCATCCATCCAAAGACCATCTATCAAAAATCACAACACTGTACATGAAAAGCCCTCTTTTGAGTTGTTAGTCAGCGTTGTTCAAGAGACTCCCAAAATATTACAGGCTATTTTTACTGCCCTTGGTGGCCTCTAGGGGTGGAAGTTAAGTCCTTGTTGCTGAAGAAACCAGAGGCCCCTGAGCTGGAACTCATCTCAATGTCTCTTCCCTGAGGACCAGTTTTCATGGTGTCAGAAGCATGCAAGTTTCCAAAGGAGGTAAGCAACCAACAGTCCTACCCAGCTAAGACACATATGAACCACAACAATGACCAGCATGGCATAATAACCTAAGGGTATGGTAGTGGCAATACCTTGGCAGTAATGCACAGCTCTCTAATTGGACTTAAAACACACTATACAAAAGGGAAATTGTGCATGTTTTCCCTAACTAGAAACCTAACCAACTACATAGGACTAGTAAAGTTATGGATCTTAGAGGAGAACCTATAACTTTCATTTAACTAAATAAGCATGTTCTTAACAGCAATCTAAACATTTGTTCTTATACCCACAGATAAGTGTATCCTCACCCCCCATCAAGGAAACTCCTCTTTGCAACAGATGAAGATCACTACAGTAAGCCACAACCTATCAAAATACAGAGCTGTGGAGTTCAGTCCTAATGGACATATCTGCAAAACAACTCATGCATCTAAGGCCCAAAGGACATTATGGAAGAAGGGGCAGAAAGACAATAAGAGACAGAGGATCAAGGAGTTTGATATGAGACTGTATCTCCTGGTTCTGTCAGGAGCTACATCCATAAAGTCTACAAACATGACCATCTAAACTTGAGCTGAATGAGGATATAACAAGAGGCATGCCAAAGTGGATATGGGAAAGGCAAGGCCTCAACCCTACAGAAAAAAATAGAGTCTGAGCAGGTTATATTTAGGAATATACACATATATACATATATGCATATAACAACAATTAATGAAAAAAGAGGCCATGAATTTAAAAGAGAGAAGGGGGGTACTTGGGAGGTTTTGGAGGGAGAAAAGGAAACAGAAATGATATATTATAATCTAAAAAAATGAAAAAAAAAAAAGAAATCAGCAGCTTGTATGAACAATATACATTCTGCATAAATAATCAAACATTTAAAAAGTGAAATAAATTTGTGCTTTAAGAAAATACCAATCTTAGAATTAGATAGTTATAAAAGCCTTAGTAAATTCAATTTACAGATATTTTGTTATAAGTTTACAGAATGTTTTCATTTTTATTTGAATTAATAAGTATGACTTAGAAGTGAGTTGTGGAACCAAAGAATGAATGGGAGTGGGGGTGGGGCTCCCTGAAAATGAGCTATTGCAAGAAAAAGAGGAGGAAAATGAAATATAAGTCTGCTTATTCACCTTGTTATAGTCCAATAATTACAATCACAGAGATATGGCCCTGAGGAGCAGATACTCTTTACATCAATTTACAGTGTGTTTGATAATCCTCTTTTACCATGTCATGTGAAGAAAGTGGCATCACCAGAAAGGGAGGGCTATAATCACAGAAAGACTCGGACATTATATAGTTAATCCTTGGCTTTTAAGATCCATTGAAATCTGAGTTAAGTTACAATTCAGTTGTGGACCTGGATTAGCTTTGATTCTACTTCATCCCCTTAACCCCACACCATGATATCTATATCAGTATCACATGCAATCATTTCTGTATAATACATACATTATATTTCAAAATGAATGTCAATTCACTTCATCTTATTAGGTAAACTCATAAAATATGAAGGCTCATCTATTGAGCACTGTGGATAAGTATCAAATAAATCACCACTGTTCTTTTTTAATAACTGGTTTAACTGGGTTTTTGTTTTGTTTTGTTTTTTTGAGATAGGGTTTCTTTGTGTAGCCCTGACTGTCCTTGAACTAGCTCTGTGGACCAGGCCAGCCTTGAACTCACAGAAATCCACCTGGGTGCCACCACCACCCAGCTGATTTTTTTTTTTAATGCATATGCCATATGTTTGCTTCAAACTTCACTGAGGTCCTCAGCAAAAACAGTACACACTCTTAACCATTGAGCCTTGACTGCAGCCCAATTACTGGTGTAACTTTGAAATCAATAGTTCTCAGCCTTGATCAGGAACTAGATTCACTTAGAGATTTTTTAAGAACCACACCATTGAGACATAGCATCTGCAATCTACTCAACCCTGCAGAGTATGATTCCCTGACAGTCTGTGCTTTAGATGAAGGAGGCTACGAACAAAACATAGCAAACTGCACTTAACCTTAAAAAGAATGAAAGCTCTTCAAGATATTTCACTTGTGAAGATATTAGAAACACAAAAGTCTGAGGTGTGATGGATGCCACAATACATTGTGCTCCATGAAGGCAATTAAAGTGGTTTTAGCACTAGATCCTGATGAAAGAACGGAACAGACTCAGGGAAGGAACATCTGCACCTTTGCTGTTGGCTTTTAAACTTTAGCCACAAAGTCTAAACAACTCCATCTGACAATGATAGGCTGACGACTCACTAGCCACCTGCCCCCACCTCTGCCCAGGCTAGTACTTGCTAGACCAACACAGGCACCTGCTGCTGATTTGCTCCCTCTTGTTCCTTGCTGGGGGCAGTCAGGGTTCTTTAATAAGCTGAGAACGTGAAAACTGAGGGGCTCCAAACTGCTACCGCCAGCCATGAGAGGGCATTTGGCACAAGACAATGAAATTTTTTTCTCCCTGGGCAGGTGGCTACTGCTGACATCTTCTGGAAAGAAATCAAAATCCTAATAGGAGTGGAAAATCACTGGCATCAAGAGCCTTGGGAAGCAATTTTTCCTTGTGCTTATTCTGGGCTTTACTCTTCCTGTTGATGGCCCATTTCTTGATGAGTGCTCTCTCACTCACGGAAGACTGTGCTTTACAATGAGTACCTTGGGAACAAAGGAGAGAAGCAAGCGAATCCAATAATTTGTGTAATCTTTCAACTGTTACCTACACTTCTCATTCCATTATCCTAACTGTATGCTTGCAAACTGCACGCAAAGAGGCACTTAGAAACCCATTTGTTGAAGTCAAGTATGATGGTCATACCAGGAATCCTGGCACTTGGGGAGGCAGGAAGAACAGGAGTTCAAGGTCATCCTCAGCTACATAGTGAGTTGGAGGTTGACCTGAGTATTTGAGAGAGACCCAGTGATAAAAAGCCAAAAGTAAAATAAGGTAAAATAAATAAAATCAGAAATAAAGGAGGAAAAAAGGAAACCTTCTAGTTGAATACAAAGCCATTTCTCCTTACGTTTCAGTGTTGTTTTAATTAGGGAAATTATAAGCTTGAGACCCATCTAGGTTCTTAATATAAGAGGATTTAATATATATATCAAATTGTGTGTGTGTGTGTGTGTGTGTGTGTGTGTGTGTGTGTGTGTAGAATTATGTTTCAAAAAAGTTTGATTGTTTAAATTTTGGAGTTATGCAAAACTGAACTGTTCCTGTCAGGAAGTTTTTGGAGTTGGGGGAGAACCCCCGGCAGCAGGTGAGTGGCGGTAGTAGCTGAGGGAATGGCACATTGCTCCTGTCTCCCCAGTGTCTATTTCAGGGCGATTCCGTTTCATAACGTAAGAATGGAAGTGTGGTTTGTACATTTCCTCCAGTGCCTTGTCACCACCACAACCCATGTCGAAACAGTTGGGACTAACATATGTTCCTCTCTGGAATGAAGATCCCTGCATGCCTTTAATACGATGAGTCATGGTCTTTTCACCAAAGTTAGGGAATAAATCTTGGCTTCTTTTCTCCCATTTTCATTTCTGTTTTTAATGAAAGAAAAAAAAAAAAAAACCAAAGCAAATCACTAACTTGCCTTTCGGTCACCTAAAAACTAACCCGAAGACCGTGTGTTTCTGAACCCATGTATTAAAATTAAGGTGTTAGTTTTCCTTTCTTACATAATTTATCATCTTTTCATCTAACAAAGTAAATGCTAAACGGGGCAGAGTCAACTTGTGTAAGAAAAAGCAAGACATGAGAAGCAGTACTAACGATCCTAACCAGGAGCCAGATAAAACTGAACTGGGAGCTAGCATAAGTTCTAGTTCATCCCCAACACATGGGGGGTGCTCACTGGGGACAGATGAGAGTGATAGCTTCCCCGCTCTGTCCTCAATTAGACCACAGAAGTAGCAGCTGTTCTGACATCTAGGCTGCAAGAGAAGTTGAAGATGCCTACCTCCCCAAGACCATTTTATGGTCAATTAATGCTCAAAAAATTCAACAGCATGACATTTTCATTTCAGGTCACCTAGTGATGGTGGATCCTGTAAGCACTTCCAAGAACCATCTTGAAACACTACGTTGGGATGAAATTTTCTTAACTTAAAGACACAACCATAAAAAATGAAGCTTCTTTGATAGAGCACTGCAGAAAGATTTTAAATTATTGCTTATAAAAAGTCATCTCCCCAAAACCCAACTTAATAATGGGATTCATTATTTTTATTTAACTTTTTATTAAGGATTTTTAAAATTCATTTTACATACTAATCACAGATCCCCTACTGCTCCCTCCTACCCCCTCTCCTGCCAAATCCACCCCCATTCCCTCCTCAAACAAGGCAAGGTCTCCCATGGGGAGTCCGCAGAGCCTGGTACATTCAGTAGAGGCAGGTCTAAGACCCTCCCCCTGCATCAATGCTGGACTAGGCCCTCTGCATTATTTTTATTTTTAATTCCAAAATCCCTACTGCTATGGTGAATGGCCTGATAAAACCACTAATGGTCAAAGTATTTCAGGCTCAAATTATCCTTGTGTGGTTTGTATAATAGTTCATTAGAGTGCAAACAGTGTTTTAATAGCCAATTTAGAGCATTCAATGATAATCAAGATTTACCAAAAATATACTTCTTAAATGACATGTTTAACCTAGAAATGAGTAGAACCACTCAAAGGTTAACTTATTTTATGTGTCTGAGTGTTCTGTTTGCATGTATGTTGGTGTACCATGTGCATGCCTGGTGCCTGCAGAGGTCAGAAGAAGTTATCAGATGCTCTGGAACTGGAGTTACAGATGGTTCTAAGGCACCATGTGAGTGCTGGGTGTTGAACCCAACTCTTCTGTAAGAACATGGAGGTATCTTTTTAGCCCTTTCCTTTCCTTTTCATGTATCAGTTCTTCAGGAAGAAGGTAAACACATACTTGACATTGTCACCTGCCTTTGTATTTCTGAGGTAGACTGATTCAATCGTTAAACATAAATACATTTTACTGCCCTTGCCTGACACAAAGAATAATGCTCTTGTAATAAATATGTAAAACAATCAATTTTGGCAAATAAAACTCTCCAAATCACTCAGGTTTAATATTACAACCCATTAGAGTGTTACAAGACTTCCTCGGGTCATGAAAATAATTCCCTCCATCAAAAATGTCCTTCTCCTGATTTTCTTCAAATCAAGTTGGCATTGCCACTGGAGGTCAGATGCCCATTTCAAGCGTCCTCCTAAGGAAGGGTGTGTGCATTGGTGTGTGGGTTGGGAGGGCAGTGTTTTAGGCTGAGATAAAGCCCACAGGACTGGGAACCCATCTCTGTAATTTGCTAGGTCAACTCATGCTTGTAATCTTGGGCTGGAAAGAAGGAAGCAGTGCATCAAAGTGGCCATCAACACTGAGTCACTCTGCATTTAAAGCTCCTTATTGGAAAGAGTGCCAGGGTGAGCTCAGACACTTACAGAGTTAAGCGTGTGTCTGAAAACTAAAAGGTTGTAGGGTTAGAAAATTGAGATGGTGTTATGCGTTGGCAGGTCACAACAACTCCTTAGCTGGAAGAGATCAGCTGCTGCATTCCTTGTAAAAAAAAATTCCTGTGATTTATCTGTGAGGTATTAATTCTAGGAAGAACTAGACTTCCGATTAGGGAATTGAGCAGGAATTTAGTTTTCCTATTGAAAAAGCCCAGAATTCTCCTTTTCTATATGCATAAAATGCACTGCTGCATGAATTTAAACATAC